AAACCTTTGTAGGTAGTTTTTTTTTGACCTTATATTTAAAAAAAAACTTTTTTAATAATAAGGGACATTTGAATTATTTTCTTGCTTTTAATTTAAGAACCTATCTTTAGATATAAATCTTTTTTTATATAATTAAATATTAATTAAGACTTTCAAACTTGAATAGACTTTTATTAAAAATTTTATTTCATTATATTAGTTATTTTAAAGGTTTTAGAGTTTCTAAGCTGAAGTTTATTTGTAATAAAGAGAATAAAACATTTTTTTAAAAAAAAATTATAATAAAATTTTTTTTTAGCAAATGGCTATAATCAAAAGAAAGCTTTTTTTTATTTTATAACTTATTTTTAAATATATTATAAAATTTTTATATAATTAAAAATAAAAAAAACTTTTAAATTCAACTGATTTTTAATTAAAAAATTTTTTCGATATAATAATAATTCTTAAAGTATAAAAAAATATTTTTCAAAATTATCTATAGACTATAGTATAGTAGTAATATTACATAGATTATCAGAAGAAGGTCTAGAGTTTAAATTCACCTGGTTACAAAAATTTATTACCTTTATGATTGGTTAATCAGCTTTTAATTTACGCTGTACTCAATTAGTCATAAATCAATTTTTAAATTTAGTTAGGTTGCATAAAGATGAAACTTTTAGTTTTTCCAATAATTACAAGCTGAAAATAGATTAAAACAAGAAAGATTGCATAAGGAAAGTCTTCTGGTTTAACTTCTATTACAAGTCTACATTCTCTTTGATATAGCAGACTTCATAATAAGAAGTATATTAACTGAATTAGGCAACTTTGAAAAGAATTATTATAAAGATACAAATGTATGAAAAAAGCCCATAGTTATTTTATAGGAGTTGCATCTAAGAATCCTAACAATTCTCTTTGATTTTGTATTTGATTCTCAAGTTTATATTAAATTTAATAGGTGAGGTATATATTATTATTATTTTTAATAATGTTCCAAACCTCATGCAATTTCTTGTAATTCTGTTTAATTCCAATTTTCAGAATCATAATTGTGTTCTGCTTGATATTTGTACCCTTATATTTGGCAGCTTAAGCCAATTAAGAGCTTATGAAGTACTTACTGAAAAATTTAGAAGTCATGTTTCACTTGATTTGATGGTCTTCAAATTTGATAGTATACAATATGTCAACTATAGAAACAACTCTTGAGCATTTATTAAAAAGTGTAAAGAAGTAAGCCTATGAATACCATGGCTATATAAGCTGGAGGTGTGAATGTGATAAGGAACTTAGTAATAATTAATTTATTAAAAATTTAAGGTTGAACCTCACTAAGAATAAATTAGGGTATGAACATACCTACAAGTATAAATTAGTATCTTAATAAAAAAGTGTGGGTAGTGTTAGTTAATATTAGCACTAGTTAATAGACTGTTCACATGTATAAGATATTTGTAATCTTAACCGATTTCATAAAAAAAGTTAGGCATGTATTGCACTTTAGCTCTTTAAAAAAAAATAATTTTTTTCAAAGAATTAATAATAAAAAAATGAATTTATTTATAAATTAATACAACATAATATATGTAATTTAATTTTATTTAATATAATAAATTTATATTTTAATATAATATACTATTATTTATATACTGTTATATTATTTAAATCAATAATTTAATACAATTTAATATAATTTAATATATAAAATAACTCAATATCTTTAATTCTAAAACATAATCCAGATTAATATACTATTATTTATATATTATTATATTATTTAAAATTTACTAAAATTATTTAAATTCATAACTTTATGCAATAAATTTACAATTTAATATAATTTATTATATAAAACAATCTAGTATTTTTAATATTGAAGCATATTCTGGGATAACATACTAGTTTTTCAATTATAATTTAATTATAATATTTCAGATTCAGAAAATTGTATTATATACAATATTCATAATGGTAAAAAATCAAATAAGGGCCGGAGGATTTACTTAAACAATAAGAGTTTTCACAAATAAAAAATATACAAGAACATGGTTTCTTCTTGAATTACCGTATATAAAATGTCTCTGATTTTAATATTCGAGTAATTTTTTATTTGAGTGATTCCGGACTTAATTTTACGGAGATATCTCGAATTTTATATATGCCACATGAGATTGTGTGTAATATTACAAGAAACAATCGATTACGAGATAATATAAAAGCGACACCATGTGTGGACTCGTGTAATCTTCAAAATGTCGATCGAAAAGAATTTTCGAAAGGAGAAATAAGAGATGAACCAATTTTTTAATTGTATCATGGAAGGAGGTTTAAATACGAACGAGAAGAAGCTGAGGATGAATGATTATGTATGTTAAACTCACTTTTAAGAATGTATTAATCGTATATGATAAAAATAAGTTTTAATATTTTAAACTTATAAATAAACATTTTATTAGACATCTTGATTGATAACTTTCTAAAGCTTCGAATCTAATTGATACGAACAAATTTAAATTACAGTTAAAAAATGCGAAAATTTCCTTTCGTCAAGATTCTCGAGATAATGGATTGCCCCCAAAAAGAACTAAAGTAATACGCATAAAATAACAAATCGGTCGGTGAAAAAAAAAGTCAGAATGCATTTTTTCACTAACAGCCAAAATATAAATGCACAAACGAAAATAATAAAAAATAACGTTGAGATAAATATAAGCGAGAAACTGATAAATGATTACACATCTTAATAGTGAACTTATCAATGATATGTCATTTAGCCTTTGATGCTTTGCAACTGTATCCTGGTGTTACAGACTGAATCAGCGAGCGGTCACCAATGCTAGTCATAGCACTTTCGGAATAATCTCTTCGATTTGGCCGGTTCTCGCTTTAACTTCCCTACAGACTAATATAAAACCCTTCCAATACCAATTCCCTTAGGACCAAATTACAAGTCTTCTTGGCACACTAAACACAAGGTAAGAATTTTTCTTAAACGTTACTTTATTGTTTATTGTTTAATGCGTTACTAACTCTAAACTAACTCTACTTCAACTCCAACTCGTTTACATGCTACTGAATTGCGCATGTATTTATACATGCACCTGTTGTTTACATGTTTACATCTAATTTCTATTCTACGCTATTCTAGAAATTTCCACCACTAAACTTTCCCATACTAATTTTTCCCACCTTAATTCCCCACAGTTCCCAGTAACAGGGTGACGTAACGTGATATCGCGTTACATGCCAGGTTGTATAGTTTATCCGTCTCATCATCTCACATGTGCGTTTTCTTCATCGTGATGCACATCATCTTCTTTACGATTAACTTCCCCGCATCCTGATCAGGTTCTGCCAAAGTATCCCGAACCCTCGGCAGATCACAGTCAGGTATCCCAGACTCCATCACGGATGCATCACGATCAGAGGGTTCAACATCAACAACAATCAAGAAGGAAGCAACGACACAAGGACTATAGAGGGACCGCGACGATGAGTAAAAGGAAATTCTTATGAGATGATACAAACTTTGCCATATACTTACCACCAATAGAGGAACCACCAACGATTATATAAAGAAGTCACAACCAGACGGCGTGAACCCTATCATATACTTACCTCCAAGAGAGAAACTACCACTAGTCCAAATTGGGTTATTCGGCTGCCGAATTACAGCCGATTAAATCCAAATTTATTAATAAAAGTTTATA